ACAGCGGCATGCCCGCCGGGGCGGCCGCCATTGCTGTGCTCCCGTGAGTGTGTGGGGCTCCCGGCCGGCCCGCCTCCGCCCACTGCCACGGGTGGGCTCCATCTGGGGGTGGCTTCCCACGGGGACTTGTGCACGCTGTGCCCCCAGGTGCTAGAACCCCTGGGGCCCTTGAGAGCCTGCCTGGACAGAACTCCGGGGCGGCTCACAGACAGCAGGGCTCCTTGCTCCGTCCCGGAGGCTGGAAGCCAGGGTCGGGGCCCAGTAGTCTCGGAGCCTGGCAGCCCATCCCGGACGTGGCCTCTGTGTCCTCACGTGGTGGAGGCCAGGGCCACCCTCAGCCTTCTGCGAAGGCTCTGACCCCACTGATGAGCACGGAGCCCAGAGGTCCTACTCCTTGCTGTCACAGGTTCCTTGGCAGGTGACCAGAGGGGACAGCAGGGCGCAGCAGTCCCAGCGCTGGGCGTTCTGGCCGGCCCAGACGCTGATGGCAGGGACACGTCTGCCTGTCTGTCCTGACTCTGTCTGTCCTGACTTTTCGTTCTGCCTCCCCCCGCACTCCCTCTCTACTTTCTTTAAAGTCGTCCACACATTCCTTTACCCTGTGTTGTCGTGTGCACGCATGTTGGGGAGTGTGAGTGGCAGTGGGGGCAGGTGCAGGAGACCACGGGAAGCCCAGGCGGGGGGCCGTCCCCCATCAGCCACTCAGGCCGAGGACTGCAGTACCTTGGCATCTCTCGCCTCTGGCCCCCACAGGCCACGCTGTGTGCTGGGAGACCCACGGGCTTCCCGTGGCCGTCGGGCCATGAGGTCCTGCGATTCCGGTCTCACCCCGCAGCTACCGTGAACGGTCCAAATGTTCTTGGGAGATCTGCAGTATCTAAATTCTGTATTCCGCTGAAGAGCCTCAGTTTCATGAAAAGCAGTATTTAGAAGTCAAGAATTTCAAAATTTAAAAGGAATATTACTGCAGTTAAATTCTTAAAACTGAGGACTTAACAAAGCAGTTCACTTCACTAAAGACTGTTTTCCAAAGGGCACAACGTGGCTCTTGATGTTTCCTGTGTCCTCGGGTGAGTCACACAGCCCCTGTTAGGCCCAGCTGTGGCCACTCAGCGTGGGCAGCTTCCTGCCCGTCTGGCCACCCGCCGGGCCTGCTGCGGTGTAAGTGCCAGCTTGTGCCGGCCAGGGACTCGCGCAGTGTTGCATGTTTGCATTTCCTGGCCGGGGCCCAGGCAGACAGCTGCTCGTCTGAAACAGCCCCAGTGACGAGCTGCTCTCTGCGCCCTGCAGGGTCACCCTGGACACCCCGATGAACAGGAAAGCGATGCCCGAGGCTGACTTCAGCTCCTGGACGCCCTTGGACTTCCTGGTCGAGTGAGTATTGTCACCCTCACCCCGTGCGTGCAGCCCTGTGCTGCAGGACCAAGCTGCGCTGCAGGTCTGTCGGTGCAGGTGGCCACTGGGCTCCCATGTGGGTCCAGCCTGGAGTGCCGTGGGCCTCGGACTGTGTCAGGTTTAAGTCCTTTTGTTCACTGCTTGGCGTGGTCCTGGCCGCTCCGTTAACTTTTGCTGGAAAAAAGAGAGGATGAGTCTTCTGTCTTTATCCCTCCTGGGTTTCTATGAAGGTGAAGCAGCAAAATTAGAGTATTGCATGTGCACCTTTTAGAGTTAATTAACGCCTTTTTTAAAGTCTGGAACCAGCAGACAGCATGATGGTTAAGGTGATGGATGTGGTTCAAATCCCGGACCTGGCAGCTTGCTTTCTCTCTGCCCTCTCCCTTTGTCTCTCTCTGGTGAGTGCACATGCACTCTAGCAAATTTAAAAAAAAAAAATCGCTCATGTCATACCACTGTGTTATAAAGAATTCCAGCAATGCGGAAAAACTCACGCATGCAGGTCCGGGTCTTGTCGAACACTCAGATCAGAACAGGACGAGGGAGCCCTGAGCAGGGTGTGTGTGTGTGTCTGTGTGTGTTGGTGTGGGTATCTGTGTCTCTCGGTATGTGTGTGTGTGTGTGTGTGTGTGTAGGTGTCCCTGTGTGTGTGTGTCTGTGTGTGTTGGTGTGGGTATCTGTGTCTCTCGGTATGTGTGTATGTGTGTGTGTATGTGTGTGTGTGTGTGTGTGTGTCCCTGTGTGTGGGTGTCTGTGTGTGTGTGTGTGTGTGTGTGTGTGTGTAGGTGTCCCTGTGTGTGGGTGTCTGTGTGTTGGGGGGCGATGTCTGTGTGTGTGTGTGTGGGGGGTGAGCAGCTCTGGAGCAGCTGCTTCATTTCTTCCCACCCCAGCCATGACTTGTGAGTGTGACTCCAGGTGCGTGTCCAGACTATGTCGGATAATGTGACGTGTCTCTTTGTTCTAGAACCTTCCACGACTGGATCACGGGGAAAAGCCGCCCGAGCTCTGGAAGTCTGATCCAGGTGGTGACGGTGGAGGGCAGGACGGAGCTCACCCCGGCGTATTTTTAGGCTTTATCGCGGCCCGAGAGCGCCCTTCTAGAAAAGCCACTAGCCCATCAGTGCCCCCCTGGCCCCGTGTCTTCTGTGACCTGCCGTGTGCCATGTATGACTCAGTGCTGTGCCCTCACTAACGTGCAGTTGCCCTCCTGGGACGTGTGCTGTGCTCACGTGAAGCGTAGCGTGTGAGGGGGAGGCCGGCGGGCAGCAACCGCCATGTCGGCCAGACCGTCCACGTCGATGTCCCGTCGGGGCTCCGTGACCCGCTCTGTCCCTGACGCTGGCCCCCGTCTTGATTAGGCCGGTGCTTCGTTGGTGCCGGGGTTCTGAAGGCCAAACTGATTGAGTCCCGTTTACGTCTTAAATGTAGTTTCTGCAGCCTTCAATTAAACTGCCTTAAACTCCCGCGTCGCCGTCCTGGTACCCCTTCCTGTGTCCCTGCGGTGTCCCCGGCCTGGGCTGGTGTGCACGGGGCTCCTTGTGAGCGGCCGGAGGCTTTCCTGACGCATGTACCCCAGCAGCCTGCTGTCCTGACCGAGCCACGTGTCCGTCCTGGGCCTGGTCTCTGCAGGGGTGCTGGTCCTGTGTGCAAGGGGCAGGTCCAGGCTCTCGCTTCTCAGCCCGGGCAGGGGTGTCACCAGTCCCAGGTCACATGCAAGCTGGGACTCGAGCAGCACTTGGGTTGTGGCGTCTGCACTCGGCCACCAGAGGAGGGGCTTCAGAGGGTTCGTGCAAAGAGCGCAGTGCGAGTTACCTGGGGCAGTTTTTGAAAGCCGTTACACATCTGACGTTCACATCCCTGCATTTCTGGAGCCGCCCACGTGGCACCAGACCACAGGTAAGCTGTGGCTGACCAGGACTCCGTCGAGCCGAGTGCTTGTCCATGTTAGGAGTCACGGTTCTGGTAACTCCTGGCGCTGTGAGCAGAGCCTTGCTCTGAAGTCCGGCAAGACAGCGTCCACGCTCGTCATGGTGTGACCATGGCAGACACGTGAAGACACGCCTGTGTCCCTCGCCACTGCGCTGGAGCCACCTGGCAATGTGCCTCGTGTGCACGAAGTGAGGTGTTTCTAAAACGGCCGTGTCAGGGTTCAGAAACACCGCGTGGGCCTAGGACTGGGGGCCTGAGAGGAAATGCCCAGTCCTGTCACGAGGGTTCCCTGTGGCTGGTCCTGGGGTGTTGAAGTGCCCATCAGCGCTGGCCCTGGCCGTCCACTGGCTGAGCCCGGCCGCTTCTCCCTCCGGTGAACTGTCCGTCCTGGCCCGTGTCCCTCTGACTCTGAGTAGCTCCCGTGTCCTGCTGCGCCTCCGCCCAGCGGCTGGGCGGGGCCCCGG